CAGGGAGCCCGATGTGGGACTCGATCCCAGGACCCTGGGATCATGACCTGAGCTGAAGGCAGTCGCTTAACCAACTGAGCCACCCAGGCGCCCAAAAACCTGTATTCTTTTTGATGGTAAAATTTCCAGGAAGAAAATGGTGGTATGCATTTTATAAACTGTAACATTTAAAAGCATTATAAAAAACTTTTTAGGCAAATTCTGGGTGCCTGGTTCACTCAGTCAGTAGAGCATGCAGCTCTTGATCTTGGGGTTGTAAGTTCAAGCCCCAGCCAGATTGGGTATAGAGATTACTTAAAAATAAAATCTTTTAATTTTAGGCAAATTCTAAGATAACATTGGAAAAATTATTGAGCCAGTTGTCATTTTTAACATAGAGATTCTTTTACTCTTGTTTTTCTTTTCAAAATATTTTTAAAATTAATTTATATGTAGAAAAAGTACTGAATTCAAGTAGAATAACATTTATTGAGTGCATACTATGCCAGAAAACTGCTATCTATTATTTCATTTAATACTCATGAAACTTTATGATGTATATACTGTTATCCACATTTTACAGATGAGGAAATTGGAGTAAAAGTTTAAGGAACTTGTATGAATATGTCACCTGCCTGTCATAACACCAAACCTGGATGTGAATAGAATTAATTTTCTTACAATAAGAAATTTGGCTTTTCACTTTTTACCACTTCACTATCATTGCTCTTAATAGAGAATCAAATTATTCTAACAAGATATATTAATACTGACTTGTTACTTTGGTGGACTTTTTGTAAGTTTTTAAAGTGTGAGATGAATCATATTAAAATATTATCTAAGTGAATCAAGAATCTGACCCTTTGACTTTTAATGTACAAGATTTCCCCAACTTTGGTATACTCTAAAATAATAAAATAATAATCATATACCAAAGTCTAATATATGGTATAATGCTTAAGTCAGATTAATTCCAGCTCAACAGCTAAATCAAGTAGATATTAAAACAAAATTATATATTTAGAAATGAGTCTTATTATTTTTCTGTGTTTCTTTAGCCAGAAAAATGTAAGAAAAAAAAGAAATGGTATAAAAGTGCACTACAAGAAGCCTACTTCCTCTATGGATATTCTCATGAGCAAAGACTGGGAATGTGCCGCCTATCCAAACAGGGTATATGAACTTTATTATTCTTTACCACCCCAAAATGAGGATTTATTCAGATGCATGCTTTCCAAAATACATTTGCACATTTAAAAAAAATCTCTCTTTCTCTTCATAAGAATATAATATATCGTTGTCCCTGAAAAAAATTTTTATATGGATTAATAGTATGTATTTTCCCCTTTGAAACTGTTTTCAGTGACTAAACATACATTCTATTTAAATGCTTCTATCATCTTCTTTACCTTTAGACTATCTACGTTAAGTTCTCTTGTGTATTTCAAAGTATATATTTCAAAATTAGAAGCTGTGGCCTTAAAATATATTTCTGGGGTGAAACTTTCACTTGCATATGCTGCATTCTTTCAGAACAAAGTATTTTTCAAAATGTTTTATTTTTAAAGAAATTCAAGGCAGAGATAAAAACAATCTTCAACTTTTTTAATGAGGTGAAAAAATATGGTAAGATTTCAGGTCATTTTCAAAGAAAGTGCTCTTGAATCATAAATATTATGATTTATAGATAGCTTTTTAAATGAATTCATCATAGGGATTATAGTAGGTAGGACACATTTTTAATTCTGAATATGGTTGTCACATAAAAATAATGATTTTCGGGGTGCCTGGGTGGCTCAGTTGTTAAGTGTCTGCCTTTGGCTCAGGTCATGATCCCAGGGTCCTGGGATCGAGCCCTGCATTGGGCTCCCTGCTCGGCAGGAAGCCTGCTTCTCCCTCTGCCTCTGCTACTCCCCTTACTTGTTCTCTCTCTGTGTCAAATAAATAAATAAAATCTTTAAAAAAATGGTTTTCAATAAACTTAAATATGTTCTTAGTGATAATAATTATCATCTTAATTACTAAAATGATCATCTTAAGTTTCAAAATAGATTATGGGAGGATCTGGCCTTTTAGTGCTGACTGAATTTTAAGAGTGACATCTTTTTCTTCATGGAATATAATATATATATATTTTTAAAACCTAGATGTGAAAATATTTTATTTGAGAAAAATTTAAATATTAACCCAGCTACCTAAGTTTAGATTTTAAAGGAAATAAGTAGATTTTAAAAGAGTGGAAAAGAATGACAAGCACATTACTCTGGTTTACTTTGAGACTGGGAAAAGAGACATTTATTACCGTAAATGTGATTTTATTCCTTGGGCTGAAAATATAATGTCTCTGTTTATTATCAGTAAAGGTTGAAGTCACTGTATTGTCACAAATACAATTTTATTCTTTTCACGGAGTGTATGTTTTTCTTGTGTAACCAAAATAAACTTTGAAGTATTTCGGGTTTTTTAGTGTTTTTAATATTCGTGTCTTGAAATAATATACTCAGTTATTTTTTAAAGTTATATTATAGCCATTTCACATTAGCAGTAGACACACTCTTTCAATAAATATGGAACTATGTCTCTGTCGTATGTGCTGCATATTTATGTCTGTGTCCTTTGACATTCTTGCTTGTCCAGAGACTATGGAGAGGGGTTTTTTCTCATTGGTTTTGCAGTAGACCATTTTCTTGTTGAAAGCCTGCTGACTTTTGCATGCAGAATTTGATGTAATTCAGTCTGATTATAGAGAGTCCTATGCCTAAAGAGATTCTTGTCCCCAAGGAGCCAGAATGGAGGGGTACAAAGACACAGGAATTCAGTCTTTGCCATAATAGGCTCACTTACTTCATACTTACTCTTTACTATCTCCAAAATAGGCACTGTAATCCTTCCTTAGCTTCCAGGGTGAATTCTAGTACATATTCAGCTTCTTACTGTGTTCAAAAGTAACTTTGAGAGGTTATTAGCCATTATTCAGATATTTTACAAAAGGTGAGTAGCTTAGAGGCAAACAACTTATTTCATCCCAGCAACTTTGAGAATTTCTTTAACCCAAAATGTCTTCTTCCAACCCAGAAATAAAGACTAGTAATTTCTTGGCCTAAATTCTTCCTACCCTACAGAAATTGGCACACTATTATGTTTGATGCAGCTCTTTCATTGTTGAAATCTGCAAGGTCAGTAAATGATATGTAAAAAATACAGACCCATTTCATATGGTAAGGGTATGTTTACTTTTATGAGAAACTGCCAAACTATCTTCCAAAGTAGCTGCATCATTTTTTCATTCCCACCAGAAATGAATGACAGTTCCTATTGCTCCACATACTTGTCAACATTTGGTGTTGTCAGTATTCTGGATTTGGGCCATTCTATTAGGTCTACAGTGGTACCTCATTGATGTTTTCATTTGCAGTTCTCTAATGAAGTATGATGATGAACATCCTTTCATATGCTTATTTGCCATCTATAAATCTTCTTTGGAGAGGTGTCTGTTCACTGCCTGCTTTTTAATTCAATTGTTTATTTTCTTATTGTTGAGTTTTAAGAGTTCTTTGTATCTTTATAGCAGCATTACCAACAGTAGCCAAACTATGGAAAGAGCCCAAATGTGCATCTACTAATGAATGACTAAAGAAGATGTGGTGTATATCTACAAGGGAATATTACTCAGCCATCAAAAAGAATGAAATCCTGTTATTTGCAGTGATGTGGATGGAACTAGAGCATGTTATGCTAAGCAAAATAAGTCAGTCAGAGAAAGACAACTATCATATGATCTCAATCATATGTGGAATTTAAGAAACAATACAGATGAATATATGGGAGGGGGGAAAATGAGAGAGGGAGGGAAACAAACCATAAGAGACTCTTAACGATAGAGAACAAACTGAGGGTTGATAGAGGGAGGTGGGTGGGGGATGGGCAGATGGGTGATGGGGATTAATGAGGGCACCTGTTATGATGAGCACTGGGTGTTGTACGTAAATGATGAATCACTGAATTCTACTCCTGATATCAATATTGCGCTGTATGTTAACTAACTAGAATTTAAATAAAATCTGAAAAAAAAAAAAAAAAACCAAGAGAGAGAAGCAAAAAAAAAAAAGAGTTCTTTGTATATTTCAGATAACAGTCCTTTGTCATTTATTTTGTAAATACCTTTTCCCACTCTGGATTATCTTCTCATTCACTTGATAATATTCTTTGCAGAGTGGAAATTTTAATTTTAATGAAGTCCAGTTTATTATTTCTTTCATGGATCTTGCTTTTGATGCTATATCTAACGTCATCTGCATACCCTAGGTCATCTACATTTTCTCCTATGTTACCCCCTAGGAGTTTTATAGTTTTACATTTTTCTTAGACATGTGATTTTGAGTTAATTTTTGTGAAATGTGCAAGGTCTATATCTAGATCCATTTTTGTGACATGTAGATATCTATTTGTTCAACACCATTTGTTGAAAAACCATCTTTTCTCCATTATATTGTCTTTGTTCTTTTGTAAAATATCAGTTGACTATATTTATTGGGTCTGTTTCTGAGCTCTCTATTCTGTTCCACTGATCTGGTTTTTTTCATTCTTTTCCCAATATTACACTGCCATGATTGTTGTAGCTTTAGAGTAAGTATTAAAGTCAGGTAGGGCCAAGTCCTCTGACTTTGTCCTTCAATATTGTGTTGGCTATTCTGCATCTTTGCCTCGTCATATGATCTTTAGATTGAGTTTGTTGATATCCACAAAATAACTTGTTGGGATTTTCATTGAGATTGCACTGAATCTATAGATCAAGTGGGGAAGAACTGACATCTTGACAATACTGAATCTTCTCATCCATAAATATGGAAAATACCCAGATTTGTTTAGGTCTTTGATTTTGTTCATCAGAGTTTTGTAGTTTTCTTCATATAATCTTGCCCATATTTGTTAAATTTTCCTGAAGTATTTCACTTTGGGGGTACTAGTGTAAATGGTAATGTGTCTTTAATTTCAAATCCTACTTTTTCATTGCTGGTAAATAGGAAAGTGATTGACTTTTGTGTGTTAACCTTGTGCTCTGCAACCTTGCTATAATCACTTATTTGTTCCAGGAGTATTTTTTTAATTCTTTTTTGGATTTTCTACATAGATAATCATGTCATCACAGTTTTGTTTCTTCTCAATCTATACCTTTCATTTCCTTTCTTTTTTTTTCTTATTGCATTAGCTAGGAGTTTCAGTACAAAATTAAAGAGTGGTGAGGTGGGAACATCTTTGACTTATTCCTAGTCTTAGTGGGAAAGCTTTGAGTTTCTCACCCTTAAGTATGATGTTAGCTGTAGGATTTTTGTAGATTCTCCTTATCAAATTGAGGAAATTTCCCTCTATTCCTAGTTTGCTGAGAGTTTTTATCATGAATGGGTGTTAGATTTTGTCAAGTGCTTTATGTGCATCTATTGATCTGATCATGTGACTTTTTTAACCTGTTGATGTCATAGATTACATTAATTGATTTTGAATATTGAATCAGCCTTGTATACCTCAGATAAACCTCACTTGTTTATGGTATATAATTCTTTTTATACATTGTTGGATTTAATTTGTAATATTTTATTGAGGATTTTTGCATCTATATTCATGAGAGAAATCGGTCTGTAGTTTTCTTGTACTTTTTATGGTTTTGGTATACTGGCTTGGGTGAATGAATTAGGAAGTATTCCCTCTGCTTCTATCTTCTGGAAGAGTTTATAGAGAATTGGTATAGTTTGTTCCTTAAATGTTTGATAAAAATCACCAATGAACCTATCTGGGCTTCATGCTGTCTGTTTTGGAAGGTTATTATATTGATTCAATTTTATAAAAAGATATAAATTGTTTATTCTTGTGTGACTTTTGGCAGATTGTGTCTTTTAAGGAATTGGTCCATTTCATCTAGGGTATCAGATTTGTGGGCATAGTTATTCACAGCATTTCTTATTATCCTTTTAATATCTTGGGATCTGTAATGATGCCCTCTCTTTCATTTTTGATAGTTTTCTCTCTTTTTTCCTCAGACTGGCTAGAGTCTTCTTGATTTTATTGATCTTTTTAAAGAAACAGTTTTTGGTTTTATTTCCTCTATTAATTTCCTGTTTTTTATTTTAATGATTTCTGCTCTAATTTTTATTTCTTGTGTTTACTTCATATTTAAC